ATCTGTCGGCCAAATAGTTGTCTTCCGAATTTCTTGGCAGAGATGAGTGAGTGCCTCTTGTGCCGCCTCACCTTCTTGAAAGATTTCAATTTTTATTCCATCAATTCCTGGTGCCTTGTTCTTTGCCAATTCCTTCAATGCACCTTGGGCTAAATGTATATATATACATTTAGCTCTGCCGCATAACAATTAAACTCAAAGCTTAGCAGCCTAAAGCAACTCTATGTACTGAGCTCATGAGTCTGGTGCTTAGCAATTTGGACTGAACTCATCTGGGTACTGGCTGGGCTTCCACATACGTATTAAGCTACAGCGGTCTCACCCACATACCTGGCTCCCACATGTGTATTCAGCAACCATGGCTTCACCCACCTGCTGGTGGAGGCTGGTTGGCAGCGGGGAGGATGGGGACTACTGGACCATCCCTCACTCATCACCCAGCAGCTAGTGTGGGCTGTTTCTCTGGGCAGTTTGAGAGCATCCCAAGGGGAAGGGCAGAGGGAGCCAAAGTTCCTGGAGGTGGATCATGAGAGGTGAGAGAGGCTCCCCCTGCTGGTGGGAGGAGTGGCAAAGTCATATTGTTAAGGAGTGTAAACACAGGACCAGTGGACAACTGTGGCCATCTCTGTAGTCCACCATAGATGTGGAGTCCTAGTGAGGCGCTGCGGGTTAATGCACTGGACTGCAAAGTCTGTTTGAACTGCAAGGTCGGTGGTTCAAACTCACCACCCACTGATACAGGGTCGTTATGGGTCAGAACCAATTGGACGGCACACAACAACAACCCTAGATATGGATTAAGAACAGATATACAGACATCATGACAGAGGGGGAGGTGGTAGAGGAAAAGGGAGAGGTAGAGGTGGGTATAAAGATTTCAGATTACTTCTGCTAGGAGACCAGGTCGTGTGAATAGGATCATCATGGTGGCTCCTTTCCATCTATTTAATTGTTTTGAGACCATCCAGGGTGCTGTGAATAATCATAGTTTCTCCTTTTCCCTACACAGACAAAGCCACACACACACACACACACATGATTCGTGGAGCTCTTCCTTGTTGATCACCAGGTCTAGGGGAACTGATGACGAGTTTCATCAGCTACCCTGCTGCATTGTGGTTGTGGTTGTGTTGAGTGCAGACTCGTATGTACTGAACTGACGCTTTTAGCCATAGATAGCTCGTTTTTAGCATACTTTTGACTGTTGTTACGAAAAAGATCTTATTGTATTGATTCAGAGGCAGACTGTTGATTTTATACATGAATTTGGAGGTACCCACTGCTATACAGATTGAATTGTGATCCCTAAAAATAGGAGGTTTGAAAATAGGGGGTTCTGGTGTGCCGCTGTGGGTTAATGCACTGGACTGCAAAGTAGGCTTAAACCACAAGGTCGGTGGTTCAAGCTCATCAGTCTTTCCTTGAAAACCCTATACAGGGTTGCTATGGGTCGGAACCGACTCAAGGGCACTTAACAACAACAACAACAACATTTTTATGTGAATGGGGTCATGTCAGAGTAGGCTAGATCCCAGACAGAATCCCACCTGAGACATAGAAAGAACAGAGGAGACACAGAAACACACAGGGAGAGACAGAGACACACAGAGAGAGACAGAGACACAGGGAGAGACAGAGACACACAGAGAGAGACAGAGACAAAGGAAGCAGAGAGAGCGGCACAGGGAGAAGACAGTATCAAAGAATGCCTAGGAACACCAAAGATTGCCACTTGTCACCAGGAACTAGGAGCGAGGTTCACAGATGGGGAGAGCCCAGATTCAGGCCCCTAGCCTTCAGGATGATGAGAAGATCTCTTTCTGGTCTTTGAAAGCACCCCCTTGTAGGAGGTCTGTTAAGCAGCGCTAGGACTGAGTTTCATTCTGCTGTGTCTGTAGGGTCATTCTGAACTGGAACCATCTGGACAGCACCTAATAACAATGATGGATACAGACTAGACTGCCGCCTGATGGCCACTTGATGTCCAAGTCATACCTTAACCACATTTTTTTAAGACATTTTATTTGGAGGAGACAATTATTAGGGAGTTTCAAAAAGATTGTGGAAAAGTACCATGAAAAGGTAATAGAATTTCTCCACAAAGCTTTTGAAACCCTCTCATATATGAGTTATTGCCACTCTGTCTAGGGTTTCTGAGGAACAGTGGTGAGTTTGAACTGCCAACCTTGTGGTTAGCAGTCCCATGCTTATCCTACAGTGCCACATCAGGACTCCACTGATGCCACATAGATCACTCTTACAAGAACACAATGCTCAAAGCAGACATTCATGACCAGTTAAGATCAGCAATTGTTTGGTTTTAAGAATACATCTTAAATCCCAGGTGATAGTATTGGTTTACGGTTTCAAGATTATCTTAGGGTAACAGTTGCATGGGTTCATCCAGCCTCCAATGCTCCAGAAGGTCTAACGTCCATGAGAATTTAAACCGAATGAACAGAATCTCAACTACAGTGTGATGCGCTGAAGACAAAACTCTTTCAGAAAGAAAATTCAATTAATTCCTAACTTGACTAACACTCTTCTTCTCAGAAATTCCAGAGGGAAACATCTCCTAGAAGGAATACTTGACTTAAATCTTGGAAAATGACTTAGAGCCTGCTGAGCCCCATGTGGGTCTAGCTGGCCCAGGGGCACCTTGGAAGAAGGACCTGGGAATATACTCCCGGCAGCTGCTGCTGTGGAATTGATCATGGCAAAATCAATCACTGAAACACCACGCAGCCCAGCTCTGCTCTGCACCCATGGGGCTTGTTGGGCGTTTGTGGTTTCCGCTAATAGGACCTGGACGACTCTGGAACTTTCTGAGAAGAGCCCACTTTGTCCCCCCACCCCCGCCTTGAGGAAGCTGCCTGACCAACCAGCCCACCATGGGCACATAGAGTGGCACGGATGGGCGCCTCCAAGTACCAGCTCCCACCCCCGCACGCTGGGAGCCAGGCGCTACTTCCTCCCTTCCCCTGTCCTTTCCTGGCCCGCGCCCACCACCTCTCCCCCCGTGGCCTCTCTGCTGTCACCTCCTGTCCTCCAGATCAATGATTCTTCCAGGAGGCTTGGAGCTTGTCCCACACTAAAGGCCAGATACTCCCAGACAAGATGACACTAAGGTGGCAGAGTGGGCAGGGAGCCAGGCGAGGATAAGGGGCAGGGACTGTCCTTCCCTGCACAGACTATTGCCCAGCACTGAGGGTCAGAGACTGCATGAGTGCCCAGTGCTCACTGCCCATATGCTCAGCCATCCCTTTAGGGGCCCTCAGTGCAGATGAGCTCCATGGCCCAGCCATCGGCAGTCTTGGCTGTGTTCCTGAAGCGCAAGGTGGGGGAGGTGACTATGGCCGGATACTGGTCCTGCAGGGAGGCCCCAAACCACAGACCCAGAGGAGGATAAAGGTGAGGCCTGAGGGTCCCACACCACCACCCCGAGCAACGATGGCCCTGCTGCCGTTCCTGCTGAGCCTGGGCCTGAGTCTGGCGACTGCCCAGCAGTTTGATCCATATGCAGTGGTGCGCAGTCACTACGACATGGACAAGGTGCGTCTGGGACCAGGCCAGCTGTGTCCTCCTCCCTGGGGGCCTGACCTCCAACAAGGCTGTCAGCCTGAGTGGTCTGATGGGCCAATGGCCCCTCCACTCACTGGAGTGTCTGCCCCCAGGTTTTGGGTGCCTGGTACCCCATGGCCATGGCCTCCAGCAATCTGAGTCGCATCCAACACAAAGGGGACATGCACGCCATCCTTAAAACAATTGAACGTTTAGAGAATGGAAGCCTGACATTCAGTTTCGACTTCCTGTGAGTTGACAAGGGGAATCCTGGGAGGTCGGGGCAGGGAGAGACAAACTGGGGAGCAGAGGGGAGAGCAGAGGGTCTGGGTCAAGTGAGCCGGTATTGGTTCTGGCTAATGTCTTCCTTATTAAATGGATGAGACCATAGTGAGGGGTAGAAGAGAGTGGGTGCTTGGACTCTGGGAGACCTGGACTCCACTCCAGGTTGCAGGGGCAGTGTGAGACAGCAGTGATGGTCTGCAAGCAAACGCAGAGAAGCGGCATGTGCACCATTGAATGTAAGTGAGACTTTCTCACGCCCACCTGTCTCCTATCTGCCCACTGAGTGCTGATGGAGGGGCTTCACAGGGACCCTGGGGCGTCTGACCCAGGAAGCAAGCCAGGTGTTCATCCTAGGGGGAGTGAGTATCGATCGGGTAAGCAGATGACACAGGGGGAGCCACAATGCTGCCGCCTGCCCCTGGACCCTCACCCACACAGCCTTCGCTGTGTTCACAAAGTCGGCCCCTCTGTGCCAGGCCCCACAGCAGGCAAGAGTGGCCAGCAGCATTGAACGGGGTATCTTGCAGATGACGGGAAGAGCACGGTGCTCATCCTAGAGACCGATTACAAGATATACATCATCCTCTACCTGCACAACATCAAGGACACCACCGAGACACGTGTGTTGGCGCTCTATGGTACCGTCCTGACGCCCCGGGTCTACAGTCCCCACCCCCACACCCCCGCCATCAACAACACCCCTCCTTGACCCCCAACTCTATAAAACCCTCCCTCTCCCATTCCCTCTGGGCTAAGTAATTCTCCCCAAAACGTTCAGCTACAGAACCTCCCTGGACCCTGGCACCTACAGTACCTCTCTCTCAACTCCTGATCTATGGGACCTTTCCTGACCCCCTGGGGTCTACAATCCACCTCCCTAATCCCAAGATCTACCAAACCTGCCCTGACTCCCCGCTCTGTCTGAAGTTTCCCTCTCTGACCTCTGGGGTCTATGAAATGCTCTCTGATCCTCCCTCCCATCTCTTGTACCCTCCCTGACCCCCTGGGGTCTACAATTTCCCCCCTGACTCCCCCCCCCCAGAGTACCCATCCCTAACTCCTCCTCCATCTATGATCCCCCTCCCTGACCTCTGCAGCCTCTATAGTCCTCCTACCTGATTCCCAGGGCTCTATGGCTGGACCCCTGCTTGAAGGGCCAGCCGGCGCTATGAAAGGCCACTCCTTCACTGGGTGGTGGTCTTGCCATGGCCCCAAGGTGTGGCCAGAAGCTTCTTACTCCGCCACAGCCAAGCCAGCAAGATGAGGAGCTCAGCCTTTTGCTGTCTATCCCAGGACGGGTCCACCACCTGAGTCAAGTCTTCCTGGATAGATTTCTGAAAACATGCCGAAAGTATGGCCTTGGCCCAGACAGCATCATCAACCTGGAAACTGAAGGTGGGTCTCTCAACTTTGAGTTCTCGTGCAAATACCTGGCTCAGGCCCACCCATCTGCACACGGTTTCTGATGGTCTGGGGCGAAGCGGGAAACCTCACAGCCCAGCCTGAGTGCCTTCCACTCCCACTGCCCCACCCCCAGATATCTGCAGCTACCCTCATTAGAGGAGCAGCCCAGGATCCCTTCCAGTACGTGAGCAGCTCAGAGGTACTGGGCGAGGGTGGGGAGAGGCGGCACCGGGCGTGGGGGTGGGCACTGGGGTTTGTGAGTAGGAAGCTGGAAGGGCTGGACCTGGTCCGGTGTCCCAGACCCAGAATGCACACCCCCACCCCCCTGGAGGCACGTGGGCAGGAGGGCATGGAGTTCAGACATGTGAACTCCAGACCTGGGCAAGCTGCCTGCCGTCAGAGCAGAGACCCTTAATGCTACACATTTACCCTCTGCCAGCCCCGGAAACTCTAGCTGGGGACCCTCCTTGCTCTTCCACTTCTGCAGCCACAGAGTAATCCTTCCTCGGTCTGTCTCTTTGTAAGGACAACTGTCATTGGATTTGGGGCTACCTCCTCCAGGATGGTTTTCCCTGGAGTGTACAACTACAAATACCCTATTTCCTAATAAGGTCTCACTTGCAAGTTACAAGATAAAGCAGGCCCAGTGAAGACTGTCCTTGGAGTCCTCCTCTTTCACCTTTGTCCTCAGAACCTGTCCCTTCTGGAGGTCTCTGCATATACAGTCTCAGAGCCATGAGGCTGAGCCCATAACCGACTGAGAGCCTGGCTCTCTCCTCCTAAATTTTTGTTCTTCTAGGAAGCGTATCAGTAGGATCTGTAGTGGGGCAAGAACCCACGCCCCCATCACATGTCCCATTTTGGTGAATCCCTGGGGGTGCGGGTTGCCGGCACTTGGCATTTATCTCCCCAAAAGAAAATTTTATTCCCACAAAAATGTCACATATGTTCATAACAGTCCAAACGTGGAAGTGACCCTATGTCCTTCAGTGAGTGGCCAGATGGCCCAGCTACTGTGTCCAAACTGGAGGACAAGACTAAGCACACAGGGTGAATGCTGCCATGCCCACTCCTGGGGGGCTGTTGGAGGGCTGCACTGAACAGGGAGTGGCAGTCTTGTGTCCGCCAGTCGATGTGTGTGGCATTCATGAAATGACAAAACTGTGCAAACAGAGACGGGATTAGTGGTTGCAGGAGCCAGGGGTCAGGGAGAACAGATGGGGCCAGGGCTCAGGGAGAACAGATGGGGCCAGGGGTCAGGGAGAACACATGGGGTCAGGGGTCAGGGAGAACACATGGGGTCAGGGGTCAGGGAGAATACATGGGGTCGGGGTCAGGGAGAATAGATGAGGCTAGGGGTCAGGGAGAAGAGATGGGGTCAGGGATCAGGGAGAACAGATGGGGTCAGGGAAACACATGGGGTCAGGGGTCAGGGAGAACAGATGAGGCTAGGGATCAGGGAGAACACATGGGGTCAGGGAGAACACATGGGGTCAGGGGTCAGGTAGAACACATGGGGTCAGGGGTCAGGGAGAACACATAGGGTCAGTGCTGGCTCATCAGAGCACTCCTTGTTACTCCCGAACATCTCTGCTGCCAGAAGACACCCAACGTGGCTGTGCGGGACAGTCCTGGCTCTGCCCAGGGAGAAGGAAGCAGCTGTGGACAAAAGTGAAGGCCAAATGCCAGGGTTCCAGCCAGCTCAGCTCTCAAGGAGTTGGGGAGAGGGTGGGAGAGGGCGTTAAGGACACGGGAACAATGAAGCCCTAGACTGGGACGCAGAACCACCTGGGCACGTTCTTACCTGTAATGTCAGTGCGTTCTCCTGAAGGGCCTGCTGAGACCATACCATGTGTAGAACCAAAGACAAGTTTCCCACACAACCAGCTCCTGACCTTCTGGGACACCAGGGACAGGTGGGCTCAGAGGGCACACAGGTGCCAGGAGCAGGCTGAGGTCTGCCAGGACCATACCCCTGTGTCTTCTCTTCTCTCTGCCTTTAACCCTGGGGCTCTGTAAGCTTAGTAAGAGATATAGAGTCCCTTCCCGGGCAGATGTGTGTTGATCACCGGGGGTCACCTGTGGTCTGGCTCTCAGGGGGGCCTCTGGGCTGCAACTTCCCCAAGGGACCTGAGGGAACAGAAAACATAAAAACCAACAATCTAAAGGTACCAGAGTGTGGTGCTGTAGGATAAGCACTTGACTGCAAAGTCGGTGGTTCAAACTCACCAGCTGCTCCTTGGAAACCCTGTACAGGGATGCTATGAGTCGGAACCAACTTGATGGCATTTCACAACAACAACAAAGGTACTGGAGAGTAATCAAAACACAGCAGAAATGTAGGGGTGTTGGCACCTGGAAGACAGAAATAACGCTGTCTGAGTTTCCTGCTTGTTCTAAACACTTTTCTGCCTGTGCACAAGTCCCACTTGGCCTAGGCTAGGTGGTTACGACCCAGAGAGAAATCCTGATCTTCCTGGATTAAGGAACCAGAGAACCAAGTTCAGGGTAACTAAATGAAAACCAAACAAGCTCGATGCCCTCGAGTCCACTCCCACTCACGGTGACCCTGCAGGGCAGGGGAGAGTTGCTCCCTAGGGTGTCTGAGTCTTTACAGACACAGACGGCCTCATCTCCTCCCAGAGTCGTTGGTGGGTTTGAACCACAGACCTTCTAGCTAGCAGCCCACCAAGACTCCACAAAGGGACCAGACCCCACTGAGGAATCACACCCCAAACCAAACCCATAGTTTTCATGGCTGCTTGTCAGGGTCCCTGCGGCTATAATGTTTACAGAAGAGACAGCCTCACCTTTCCTCAGCAGCTGGACATGAAGAAGGAAAATCCAAGAGAGGAGAAAGTAATGGAGTGAAAGCCCCAATTCTGCATAAATTCTGCCTGACCGTGAACTGGGCATGCCCACCACAGATTCCAGCAGCCCATTGCTGCCCCAACACACAGGGAAAGCAGAGTTCAGAGTTTGAGTTCAGCCAAGGTAGTTTCCTGTCAAAATGGAAACCCAGTACTCTTGAGAATAAAACAGAATCCAGAATCTAAACTGCATCATTTACAATGTCTAAGATTCACCCCAAACTACTAAACAAAGCAAGACAAAAAAGAAAAATATAACTCATCCTCATATTAAAATAAACCAGCTGTTGGAATGACCAAACAAACATTTTTAAGCATCTTTTGTGACAATGGAGTCCTGGTGCGACACTGTTGGAGAAGCACCAGACTGCTAACTGCAAAGTCATCGGTTCAAACACACCAGCCTCTCCTTGTAAACCGTATGCATTTGATTTCTTGACGGCTGCTTCCATGTGCACTGGTTGTGGGTCCAAATAAAATGACTTCCTTGGAAACTTCTATCTTTTCTCTATTAATCCTGATATTCATTGGTCTAACTGTAAAGATTTTTTTTTTCTTTATGTTAAAGTATGATCCATACTGAAGGCTGTAAACTTTTATCTTAATCAAGTCAATTTGTCTTCAGCAAGCAAGGTTGTATCATCTGCACATTGCAGGTTGTTAATGAGTCTTCTCCAATCCTGATGCCACGTTCTTCTTCATATAATCCAGCTTCTCGGATTATTTGCTCAGCAGACAGATTGAATAAATAAGGGCAAAGGATGATGGTACAAACATTTCCTGTTTTAAGCTAGTCAGTACCCCTTGTTCTGTTCTTGGTCTGCGTATAGGGTCTGCACGTAGGTTCTGGAATTCCCATTCCTCACAATGTTATCCATAGTTTGTTCTGATCCACATAGTCGAATGCCTCTGCATAGTCAGTAAAACACAGGTAAACCTCTTTCTGGTATCTTCTGCTTTCAGCCAAGATCCATCTGATCTCAGCAATGATATCTCTCAATCCGTTCCTCTTCTGAATCCAGCATGTGTATGGCAGTTCCCTGTTGATACACTGCTGAAACTATTTTTGAATGAAGTATATTTTCTCACAGTTAAGGAAGTTACAAGTCCAACTTCAGGGCGCAGACTCTGGGAAAAGGCTTTTGCTGTCTGTCTGCCCCGGAGGAAGTCTTGTCTCCCTGAATCTCTTCTCCGTGGCTTATGTTCATGTCGTTTGATAGCACCCTTCCCGGATCTCTGTTTCTTGTTTGCTTATTTAATCTCTTTTATATCTCAGAAGAAATTGACTTAAAGTGCCCTCTACACTAACCCTCCACCACTTGCCTGTCAGTTTATCATACTGTGGGGGCTTGTGAGTTGCTGTGATTCTGAAAGCTATGCCACCAGATTTTAAATACCAGCAGGGTCACCCATAGTGAACAGGTTTCAGATGAGC